TTTGTTAATTAACTAAATTGGTAGGTTTCTTAATTGTGAATTACCTAGTCAGTTCGATCTTTCAGTTCAAACTCTCAGCATTTTATCTAACTGCTTATCTTACGAGAGGGCAATGGCAGTGAGTCTGAGTAGAAAATAGCCACTGGAAGAGGATTTTAAATGGGTTTTACTGAAACTGGGTACATTTTACATTTATATGGGCTTCAGGGATTATATGACTGCTTTGAAAAATAGTTTCAACCTCGGAAAACCTCACTGCTTTTAAGTGGAGCACAACTCATAAATGATCCACATACACAGGACTAGATAACAAAAGAATGATTTATGCTGTAGTTGCACTTAGTCCTCCAATACAAAGAAACTAGAAAGTTAATTTCTTGGAGCAGTAATCTCTAGGTATGTTTCCCAGACATTTTGTTTTGTTGTTTTTCTTTCCACCAAGTTTTTTAAAAGGGTTCCCCCCAAGCCTGGTGGAGAGCAGGTCTGAGCCGGGGGTGGGGGCGCGATGGGTACCTCATGGGACGGGGGGCGCTCCGGCCCGTCCTTCACGCCCGACCGAGGTCACCAGTTGCCCCCCACGAGCGGCTCTCCGGCACGGCCACGGCCCCAGAAGCACAGAAACCAATCTCTTAATTATCTGACTCTCAGTAGAAATACTTGCAGGGTTAATAAATAAAATAGCAGAAATCCAAAACCGCGTGGCCGCTATCATGGCCACGCGACATCATTTAATTCTTGAACCCAGCTATAGAAAGCAGATCATTTCACAATGCTTTTTCAGCATGGCTGAGTTTGGGGGGGGGGGGGGTAAAGTCTAAATAATAATGGTGCAACTTTTATCAAAACAATGAAGCTAGTCAAAGTAGACAGAGTGTTAACTAGAATTCATCTACCCCACAGACATTGGGGGGGGTTGGGAGGGTTTATTGGGGTTCTTCGTGGTGAAAAATGAGTATTGGTAAAGGGAATTGTGATTGATGTTTGCATGACTGAGACCTAGGCTTGAAGGCTTTGTAATTTTTCCCACAGCGATTCACTAAATAAATAAATAAATAAAATTTTAAAAAAAAGTGTTCCCCCCAATATATGTGCATTTTTGTTAATAAGCATATTTATATGCTACTTTTAAATTTTTATATAGACAGTGATCTTCACACATTTGTTTACAATATGTTCCAGGTATACAATATTTCTACCTTCAATCCTGCCACTCCATGAACCCATTTCTCTACCAGTGACCCCAGGTTCCCTCCCACCCACCCCCAACCTGACTCCTTGAGTTGGGTCCCGTGCTTCCAGTAGTGTAGGGTCTAGATACACAGATACTTTGCCTCTACACCACAGAGGAGCCCAAGGTCACATGCCCCTATGTTACTTCCAGATCTCATCTTCTTGCTTTCTTCCCCCCTCTCCATATCTCTCTTCCTTCAGCACTTAAGTTTCTCTAATATAAAAAAAATATATATAAAAATATAATATAAAACTAATGTTTTTCTACTGTTGATAACTCCCATTCCACCATCCCATTATTTCCTGCACCACAGATTAGTGAGAATATTAGCTATGTGTCTTTGACCCTTTAATTTACTTCACTTAACATGATATCCTTGAGTTCCATCCAAGATGCTGTAAACTGCATGATTTCCTCATTCCTTGTGGCTGCATAGTATTCCACTATATTACAACTTCATTATCTTCCTTCTGTCACTGAACAACTGGGTTGTTTCCATGTCCTGGCTATTGCACTAAGTACTACAATAAACATAAGAGTGCATATATCTTTTTGAATGAAAGTTTTTGTGTTTTGGAGTAAGATACAAAGCAGTGGAATGGCTGGATCATATAGGAGCTCTATTTTTAGTTTTTTTGAGAGATCTCCATATTGCTTCCCATTGTTTTAATATAACATGAATATCATAAAAGATTAAAATGAAGATTTTTTATGAAATAAAATAAACCAAATCCAAAATTCTACTACTGAATCCTAGACCACAGTATAATTTCATGGCATGATGGAGGATTCTTGTTCTACAGGAGTAATTTATCAAGATAAGGTATACAGAAAAATCACTTGAAATTCTTGTTTAAAATGCTTACTCCGGGGATTTAAGAGACAGGACAGTGGATTGGGAGCTTGCCTTGTACATGGCCAACCCAATTCAATCCACAGCACTCCATATGATTACCTGAGCTCCTACAGGAATGATCCCTGGACATAGATCCAGGAATAATCCCTGAACACTACCAGGTGTGTCCCCCTCCCCCCCCCCAAAAAAAAGAAAGAAAAAAGAAATGCACACTCCAGAAGAGATAGCACAATGGTAGGACACTTGCCTTATACATAGCCAACCCAGGTTGAATCCCCAGCACCACATATGGTCCCCAGAGCCTCTCAGGCATGATCCTGACTACAGAGACAAGAATCTGAGCATCTAAGTACCACCTGTGATAACCTGAAAATACAAAAACTATAATAAGACCAGGAATAGGTGCTCAGAGGTAGAGCATTTGCCTTATAAGTGCTTACAACTTGCCTTACAAATTCTGGGTTCAATTCCCTGAATCAAAACCAAAATTCTGTTGCTGTTGTTGTTGTTGTTGTTGTTGTTGTTGCTGTTGCTGTTGTTATTGTTGTTGTTTTGGGAACACATTCAGGTATGCTCAGGGCTTACTCCTGGCTCTGTACTCAGAGATCACTCCTGGTGGCCTCAGAGGCCATAGTCGGTGTCAGGAATTAAACCCAGGTTGGCTATGTGCAAGGCAAACACCCTACTGGCTGAACTACCTCTCCAGCACCCCTTCCCCACAAAATTAATGTATATTCCACGCACCAACAACAGAAATTTATTATGCATATGACGAATCAAAGAAACTACCTTTTTAGCTGTTTTTCAGATTCTGAAGTAGATTGTTTGAGCACCATATTTAAAGACTACAAAAGACAAGGAAGTAATTCTCCCTTCTATTACAACAATGTCGCACCAGAAGGAGATAAAACAATGCCCTATCCTGCACAGATATTATCCATGATCTAGTTTTTTATGGGGGTAATGTTAGAACTATCACTTAAGATGTTATTCCTAATAGAAAATATATTCCAACTTTTACAATGCTGACTCAGAAGAAATTTTTAGCATTGTCATAAACCGCCACACATACAATTTATTGTACAACAGAACTCATCCACTTCAATAAAAATTGCTTTTTAAGGAGCCAGAGATTGAAATCAGAAGAAAGTGATTCTCAGGTTATACTTGTCACCGGTACAAATAAGAATGTATGATTTATCTTAAAATAACTGCATATTAGCTGCCGTTAAATTCAGAAGTTTTCCTATTTCTTCTCTAACACTGGTTAGAAATTTTAATTTTGCCACATTTGGATCTCCATTGAATCTATATATAGCACTGTCCTCCCGTTGTTCATTGATTTGCTCGAATGGGCCCAGTAACGTCTCCATTGTGAGACTTATTGTTACTGTGTTTGGCATGTTGAATACGTCACAGGAAGCTTGCCAGGCTTTGCCGTGCAGGCAAGATACTCTCGGTAGCTTGCCGGGCTCCCTTAGAGGGGCAGAGGAATCGAACCCAGCTCGGCCGGGCCAGCCGCATGCAATGCAAACGCCCTATCGCTGTGCCATCACTCCAGCCAGTGTCAGGATGGCCGAGTGGTCGAAGGTGCTAGACTCAAGCTCCACTGAATCTACAGTTATGAAATCTAAACCTCATAATAAAAGATGCAGTTTTTCACAACTGCTTGTGCAAAGGTTTTTTTTTGTTCTTCTTCCTCCTTTACCACACTTCTTAACCCTCCTGATCTGATGCCCAACTTTTTTTTTTTTGATGCCCAACTTCTCACCAAGTTCTAAGTAAGCTATATTCTCCGAGATTGGAGTTATCAGTGCCAGAGAGCTCAAGTCACTAATAAAATTATCTTGGTACTCCTAGCTACCTAGGACATCATTACTCAATACTTGAAAGAAAACCAAATCATTCTATGAATGTATGCTCCACTAGGATAATCTTTTTAGTGATAAAGTCAACATTCAAACTTACCAACTGAATTTGGCAACATCTCACCTTCCCCTAGAATAAGGAGAGAAAGAAAGCCACACCTACAAGGGCATCAGGAGACCTGCTTCAAGGATCCCTCTGCCCACAGTAGCTGGTTTACTCAGCTCTTTAACAGCTATTCTCTTTAGCTCTCTCCTCCCCTCTCCAGGCCCTGGGAGACAAGAATCCCTCTGAATTGGACAGGCTATTCCACAAGAGACACTGCCTCTTCCAACAAGCACAACATGGCTGCTTCAAGGATCCCTACCAGGGATCTGCCAATGTCTTCAACTCAGAGACCCAAAAACAAAGTTTCTTAGTAGGTATTTACAGTTCTTTCTCATCTGAATGCAGTTCACCAGCATTTTTTTAAATGAAATAGCTCTACAGAAGCTATAATCCTACTCTGGTTTTAGTTGTTTGTTTGTTCATATGAATTCACCCATTCTTACTGTAATGTGTATGATTTGTGTGAATTATCTCGTGCCTACTTTCATCATGAGAATGACTAATTCCATCTTCAAATCCATTTTCCCCAAATAGATTTTTCAGGAACAGCCTTGGGATCTAATCTAAACAGAGTAATCCCAGCTCCACCAAGGAGCTGCTGGAAGACGTTTTTGTGTCATTAGAGTCTGTGGCATAGGGTATGAGGTCAGTAGCTGCAGCAGGTAATCTGCTGTCCACATGAAGAACACACTGTTGTTATAAGCATGTTGCCTTAAAATTAGTTGATAACCACCTTCATATAGTTTCCAGGGAAATAAAGCTAGAAGTCCAACAAAATGTCAAACTGTCAAGCAAAAAATGAAAGTTGGTTTCTACAACTTTTTACCCAGAGATGAATTTCTTGAAAATAAGCAATTACACTTGTCATACCAGATAAATACAGTGGGAAAATGAATGTGAAAAAAAACTAAGAAACATCATTTTTATCAATATACGTACCATCAGCAGTAGCACCATTTGCTAGAAATATGTAGTAACTTGCGTTTAGATCAAATCTATTGTTAAAACCAGGAAGGGTAATGTTTCTTCTGAAGGAACACTGCATAAAACCATCCGCCAACCTCCAAGCCATATCCTCAAGAGAAACCTACAAATACACACAATGGGCCTTTTCAGTACCTTCCAAAACTTTGCTAAAATTAGATCTGATCAAAGCCCAATGTTGTTGAATTTCCTTTCTCTAAGACCCTTTGTGCATGTTTTGTCTCTAGAATCATTGTTTTTCCACATCCTCTTTGAAGTGTCAAAAAAAAAATATTTTCTCCTAGTTTGTTTTCTCATTCCACTTGGTAAAAATATTATTTTTACTTTGAGTCAGGACCTCACAATTTCTCTACCCAAATCAGAAGCTTGAGTAGATTGACTAACTCCATCTGGCCATTATCACACAGTCAGTAAGACTGAAGAAGCAATTAGCAATACTAGTAGCTAATGCTACTAGGACTAAAAAAAATAAATGCTGAACTACTAGGGGCAGGAGTACTAGGGGCTGGAGCGATAGTGCAGTGGGTAGGGTGTTTGCCTTGTCCCTCTTGGAGAGCCCAGCAAGCTATCGAGAGTATCCTGCCCACCCAGCAGAGCCTGGTAAGCTACCCATGGCGGATTCAATATGCCAAAAAAACAGTAACAAGTCCCAGAATGGAGACTTTACTGGTGCCCACTTGAGCAAAACGATGAACAATGGGAGGACAGTGTTACAGTGCTACAGTAGCCCAAATGCCATATGCAAGGAGGGAAAAGCTCCAACCCAGCTTGGGAGTCAACCCAAGGAAGCTCTGCAAAAACTATCACTGTAAATAAGAACAACTCTGTTTGCCAGAGCTCACTTGCTTGTCAACTGTCAGATGAAACACAATTTCTCTACAGAAAAAAAATCCTTTTTGCAAAAATAGGCCACCTTTGGCACAGCTACTAAAAGACACACTCAAGCAACTGGCAAGACCCTGACCAGCCTCTAGCATATGCTCCTCTTTCTTCAACAGTCAAGAAATCCCCTGTGCCTCTTTCAACTAACATGTGCCGCTTTTAGAAATGTGTCTGTAGCTTTCAAAAAGGTGCTCTGTCACTTAACAAAATACAAAATCTTTTCTGGAAGATGCCAAAAGCACTGAAGTAACACAAGCATGAATCCATCCTTTCCTATATGAGAGACCTGTCTTGTGATTTATAGAGTGTAAAAGAAAAAAAGGTATGATGTGGGTTAAAGGGCACCGAGCTGCAGTGATTTAGAATGAACACGTCCAGAAACATTCACAACAGGAATGACCACAGTTAATGACGCTGTTAACTGTTGACTGTTAATTGCAGAGTTGATTTCAGACACTACAACCGCACACGAAAAATGTTTGTCAGAAGGGAAAATAGCTAATTAGCTAGTCAGAATAATCTTTTAACTATAATCTTTTAACTATGTATATGAATAAGAAAACAACCTGTTGTGTACCTTTAAATATATACATAAATAATTTTATTAAAATTTGCATTAACAAAGATAGTTGAGGGGAGGAGATGAGGGGAGAGGAGAGGAAGAAAGAGAAGGGGAGGAGGAGACAGAAAAGAAGGGGAGTGGAGAGGAGAGGAGTCAAAGTAAGGAGGGAAGGATCAGGGAGGGAAAGGGAGAGAAAGGAAGGGCAAGAGAGGTGGGAAGTGAGAAGATGAGTAGAGGACAGTCAAGGGGAGGAGATGAACTGCCCAAAGAGAGGGAGGTTCTCCAAGGCAGGTGGAGGCTCTCAAAATTTTCATACTTACCTCTGAGTCCATAATAGGATGCTCTCGACCTGTCAAATGGGAAGGTTTTAGGTGCACAGTCTGATCTTCACGAATACACATATACGCATCATCATCACCCTGGAAAATAATTGCAAACAAGAAAAGTTCAAAAGTATTTCAACATTCATTTTAATATCCCCACTGAAATAAAATAGTATTTGATGCTTTTAAAACATCCTGTCTGGAGAAACAGCACAGTGAGTTAAAGCACTGCTTGGGTGATGCCCACCCATGTTTGAATTTTGGTTCCCTATGGTTCCCTGAGCCCTGACAGGAGTGAGCCCCAAGTGTAGGGTGGGGCCAAATAAACAAAACAAACTAAAGAAATCTATTTTACTGACTCAAGATTTTGTTATGGTGGTATATTAGTGGTGGAGGCATACCTGTGCAACTTCAAACCTACTAAAGGGTGACCAAAGATCTAGACATGACCTGAGACCATCTCACTTGCATCTGAAAAGAGAATGCAGGTACCTGTTGAAGGATGGAAAGAAGGGGTGTGGGGAATAATAGAGAAAAGTGGACTTGTGAGGAGTTATGGCAACAGCCCAGAAAGGAGACAACAAAGGTATAATGAGCCAAATCAAAGGTAGTGGCAAGGCAATGCAGAGAATGAAAGACATTATGTTCAAGAGATAATCAAACGTATCAGGAAGATCAGTGGCAGTATGCATATTAGCATCCATATCTGAGCTTCTGAAAACCGTTCCTGTGCTAAAAGAAAACAAGAGGGCCAGAGCTGTGGCTCAGAAGTAGAATGCCTGCCTTGTATGTGTGGGGCCCTGGGTTCAATTCTGAGTATCGTTTAAAAAATTAAAAAAAAAAAAGAAAACTGACTTCAACTGAAAAATGAGGTAATTATTAAAGTATAAGGTTAGCGAACAGCATCAGAACACAAGACTATGCTCAAAGACTAATAGTAATGCATCAAAAGATCACTATAACCACCTAGAATTGGCTGCCCCTGGCTACATCGGAGTCAAAATAAGTATCTTAAATAATAAGGTAATAAACTATCACAATAGACAAAGATTACTTTAATCCATAGTGTTACTCTTAAGGGGAAAGAAAGATGCAAAGAAACACTCTTCATTCAGAAGATTCCTGGCTAATAAATAAATTCAAAAATTACCATCTTATAACTACAACTGATTCAGGTGATTTGAGTTATTCAGGAAAGCAAATACTGACATCACTTGGAAAAAATGTTACTGAGAAACAGAATATTCATGCAAAGTATCAACCAACAGATTACATACTAATTAAAAAGACAAACTTTACCTATACAATGGAGAAATCTGACAGATATTAATTATCACTGATGATTAATTATCATTGATGATTAATTAAGAATCATCAATGATCACCACTAATGATCATCAATTATCAGAGGAAAAATCTAACATTATATACCTTTGGGTATGATAGACTGAAACACATGCTTTATGCAGTATTTCTGTCAAAAATTCTTAACCTGAATCTTTGTACAAATTATGGGTAGTTCTATAAAACTAGAAACTAAAGCAAAAAAAGTGCATTGAGGATAATCACACAGATCTTAAAATCAGGGGAAAAATTGTTTTAAAGAATTTCATTAGGACTAGAGAAATCAGAAAAAAAGAAATTAACTTATATCAGTATAATAAAGTACGATGGGAACATCAGGAAAATATTTTTGTTCTTAGTAAACATATGCTGTAGACTTGAAACACAAAATTTCATACTATCTGCAACTAAATTTCAAACAGTTCAAGAAAAAATGTGTTTAGAGATGCCTACTAAGTCTATGTACACATGCATACACAGATGAGAGAATCTGTCACTGTCACTGTCCTCCCGTTGTTCATCGATTTGCTGGAGCAGGCCCAGTAACATCTCCATTGTGACAATTGTTACTGTTTGGCATATCGAATGCATCACGGGTAGCTTGCCAGGCTTTGCCATGCAGGCGAGATACTCTTGGTAGCTTGCAAGAGAAAAATTAAGTAGTATATGTAGGGCAATAGTGTATGTTGTAGAATCCTTTCAGCTCTCATGTAGGCTTAAAACTGAAGTGAGAAGCTGGAAGTGGGAGAGTGAGGAAGAGAAAGGACCTCAGAGGTGAGGAAAAGTGAGTTTTCAAAAAGCTAGAGAAATAATACAAGGATTAAGGCACTTGCTTAGCAGGCTGCTAAAACCCAGTTTGATTTCCAGCACAACATATGACGCCCCCAGCACCACCCAAGTGAACGGCTCCTAAGCACAGATACAGGAATAAGCCCTGAGCACAGCCAGAAATGACGCAAAACCACAGGGGGAAAAAAAGTGAAGAAAAGTGTACAATCCAAACAGGGGAGATGGCTCAAAGGGCAGGGTATACTTTACATGTCAGAAGCCTTGGTTCGATACCCCTATGACGCCAATCCCACCCGTCTCCCCCACACTGCATGACCCTTAAGCACTACTGGGAGCAACCTCAAGTAACAAGCAGAGAAGAGTCCCTGAACAAGCTGGAGGGGGAAAAGGAAAAAAAAAGGAAATCTAACCAGACAACCAAATTTCCCCTGATAGCAATGAATAGTTGATTAACTGATAATTTAGATATTAACAATACCTAAAAGGAAGCAATAAATAAGAACTGTCACTTTTTATTTTATTGTTATTGTTTTGCTGATCACCAAGAATAGGGAACACCAGGAAAAAAGACACACACACACACATATATACATATGCATATATATACACATAGATACATATACATGTCAGTTTCATAGATAATGGTTGATTGTGTCCAGAAATCAGCCCTAAATGAAACCAGTCTGCAACTGAAAATCCTAACCTGCAGTTTAAGTCAGGATTGGGAATATTTTAGAATTTTAGTATTGAGAAATAAAGTATAAAACAAGAAGTTATTGGGCATAGGGAAGGAAGAAAATAGAAGTTAATGTAGTTTGCATATTTAACATACTTTCTTAATATATTTTCTATGATTTATCAAAATAGCGTGGATGGAAAAGATGTATGCGCTTTGAAACTGAGTTAAAATTCAGACATTAGCAAGCCATTGTTAGTGGAAATACGAAAAATCATACTTTTCATCAATTTTAGTGATGTGGTCTAATTCTGAAACAATTGCTATCATTAATTTATAAACCAAATTGAAAAGGGCATATAATTTAGGTTACCTAATCAGTATTCATAACATCAGGTTCCTTCAGTATTTAAATTTACATTACATACTAAAAAGAAATAGCAGATCATAAAAATATCCTCAAATTTTAAAAATAACAACTAAAAATAGAAATAACCACTTCAAAAATATTTCTGAGGATGATTTATTTCCCCAATTTAAGCAAACAGGTGTAAAGATGATTTTAATGATTAAGTAGAATTGCTCTGTAAATCAACTGCACCTGCATAATTAAATCTTTTTTACAAACATTTTTGATGAGTGCTATACTAGAAACATAAGATTTCTAAGTAAGATAAATATATCTTGAATTAGAGATAAATGCTTTTGTGCCAGCTATGCCTACAACTTAGAAATATCTGGTCTACCTGTATACAACCACTCACCACACTCAAAGCAACAATATAGGACACTCTTAATGACAGAATTTACATGACCAGAAAGGAAATGTGTTAAAGGAAATGTATTGCATGGCATCTGACTTATAAAGAATTTTAAGCATGGGTGACTAGCACACATATCTGTATGTGTACTGCACCTCAGAGTTGAGCCCTAATGAAACTAAACATTTATGCCCATAAAGCTACCACTGCTCATCCTTGTTAGACTCATCTTCATACTTGGCTTTCCAACCAATTCCAATCACATTCACACAACGAGCACTACCATCATCTTTCCTTATTACTTTATAGTCACATTTTATTTTTAACCCAATACTTTGTACACCAAAACTTGCTCCATTTTCCCAGTTAATACTGTTCGGCATCATTACTGACAAATTTAAAATAATATGTTAGAGAGATGGCTCAAAAGCTGTAGTTTTACATGTGGAGTGTTTTACATGTGGAGCTTCAGGTTCAATCCTGGCACTGACCAAATAGGAGTTCAATCCAAAGAACCACCAGGTGTGGTCCCCAACATCAGAAAAAAAGGGGGGAAGTGAGGGGTATGGTTTAGTAATTGCAATATCATAAGTATAAATTTTCCCACAAAAGCAACTTCAAAGGCCAAGAGTTATATGCTTTCCTACACATTCATTTTAAAAGCATATGACATACACTGTTTCTAGGTTTAAGAGATAGCCTTTGTTTACTGAAAGAGGATAAGAACTGCATTCTAGAACTCTATGGTAGAGAAAGTACGTCACATGCATAGATTTCAATATCCGCCCCTACAAAAAAGTCACACCTGGCTTCCTGTAATACTTGCAAACAATGTACAAATACCAACATTAGCAGAGCACACTTTTAGGGGAAAACAGTTCTATCACAATATCTCCAGTTATTTCACTTTGTTTTAGAGAAATGAAGTTCAAAAACCTGAGAGTAAGACAGCTCCAAAAAAGACTGCTTGCCTTCTTGATTTTACTAGCTGGAAGTAAAAGCTATTCTCTATTTCTGCTTCTCCCTGTGTGTCCCTTTTCTCCCCCTAAGATGGCTTGCACAAGATTCCCACATGTCCTGGGCACAAAGCCCTTCTTCCTTCTCCTTGGGAAATCAGGATACGTAGGCAGCACCTCGCTCTTCCACGCCACAGCACAAGACTGCCACCTACAGAATCAGTGCCATTCAGCAGGACTGAAAGACAGAAACAGCTTCAAACCAAGGCTGCCTTCTCTAGACGTGATAAAAAGAACCTACTAATAATAAAGAACAAAAATATTGCCAGGATATTACAGGCTAAGTTCTCTGTTGGGAAAATATAACAATAACTGCTATCATGGGACGCCCCTGCTTTCCTTGCTGGCTACTTGAGAAAACAACCAGAGTTGAAAAACCCTCACAAACTACATCAGATTTGTTGTGCAGAGCAATTTTTTAAAAACAGCACTTCCTCAAAGTAGGTAAAGGAACAAACATGATAACGTCTCAGTACCTATATTGCAAACCATAATGCTCAAAAGGGAGAGAGAGAGAGAGAGAGAGAGAGAGAGAGAGAGAGAGAGAGAGAACGAGGGAGGGAGAGAGAGAGCTACCTTAGAGAAAGTCTCTGGGGGGCGGGGGGGGGCAGGAAGAAAACAGGGGACATTGGTGGGAAATGTAGGGACGAGTTGATTGAAGACTGTTTGATGAAACCCAATCATAAACAACTTTGCAACTGTGTATCTCACAGTGATTCAACTAAAAAAAAGATAAAAACAGCACTTCCTGCTTTATCACAGAAACAGACACTGGCAGATAAAACTGCAAATCTACTGGAAATAAAAATAATTTTCCTAAGGACAGTTATCTCTTATAAGTATATAATTGCCCACTTGTTAAAAATATGAAACACTCAAAGCTGTTTAACTTAGAATAAGCTCAAGTTAATTTATCCTGCCCTTCCCTCCCCAAACCCCTCACAAGTAGGATAATTTGAATCTGCAGAAAACAGGTAAAGTGCTGTTGACTAGAACTTTATGCCAGTGATGCTCATGCCAACAGTTCTCCTTTCATTACCATTAATGAAAGTGAAAAGTACAAACCATCCATCGGTCATGAGAAAATGCGAAGGATAAATAGCCTTCACTGGGACCACTCATTTCGATCTTCACTGACTGGTCATCTCGAGTGAAGGACAAGAAGAGGCAGGTATGATCCTTCTTGGGGTCACAGTTCAGAGGACTTCTGATGCAGAATTTTTTCTTCCCACAATCTGAAGCATTGAACTGAAAAAATGACATGGGGGGAGGGGGTCTTAATTAGCAAACAAGAAGTTCATTTCCAGTGACAGAGAGCTGTTACCCTGAAATACAGCTTCAAAGAAAATGCATATCATATTAAAGATTCAAATAAGGGAACAAAAGAGGCATCCCAAATTAGAAATGATTAGAGCAGCAGTTAGGCTGTGAACTTTTAAACTTATTCACTTTAATTAAAATTTGGTTTGGTGAGGGGTTGGGGAAGCCTTGGGGGGTACATCCAGTGATGCTCAGGGGACCATGAAGTTTAGGGGATCAAACCCAGACTTTCAGTATGCAAACCATGCACTCAGTCTGATGAACTTTTGGCTCCTTGTTTAAATTTTGGAAGTCAATACTAGTTTAGCTCTAACTGTGAATGAATATTAAAATCTATTTAATATATAAAATCTTGGCACTGAAGAAATACCTCAATGGACTGGGTGCAGGTTTGGCATTAAGGAGGTCTGGACCATATCCCTGGTATCACATGGTCCCCCAAACCCAGCCAAGAGTGATTTCCCAAACACTGAGCCAGAAGTAACCCCTAAGCTGCACTAGATGTGGCCCATAAGCAAATAAACAAATATCCACAAAAGACATCTCATAACTTATGTTCTGGAGCAAAATTTCATGTAAGACTGGAGATCCCTCTTAAGAATATACAAGTCCTCACTGACATTCTTACCTTAAGTGTATTGTTAGTTTGCCAAAACGGAACTTTAAAAAAATAAAAAACTTATACAGGTGTTTATACAGCACAAATGCTGGCCGACTGCGACCGTTAGTGTGGAAAGGTCAGACTGCAGCTGAATCTCACGAAGACAATGTTCATGAGAAACGGACTCGTTCCTGACATTCCATTTGCTCTCAATGGAACGAACACCTCCGAATGCAGCAATTATGTGTACCTAGGTCAAGAACTCAACATGACGAATGACCTGGCACCTGAGCTGCACAGGAGGAAGAGAGCGGCACGAAACGCCTTCAAGAGTGTCGAAGAAATAGCTAAGAGGATGAAGAACCTCCAGCTTCGGGCACATCTCTTCGACTCTACTGTTCTTCCTGCATTAACATACGCCTCAGAGACCTGGGCCCTACGCAAAAAGGATGAGAACGCTATTCGGATCTCCCAAAGAGGAATCGAAAGAGCTATGCTTGAAGTATCACGCTTCACTCAAGTGAGAGAGGGAATCCGGAGTTACAACCTCTGTCGATGATCGAGAGTCAGGGACACTGTCTCGTTTGCCAAGGTGTCGAAAATCAGAAGGGCTGGACACGTAATGCAATTTGGAGACGACCGTTAGACTAGAGCCATTGCTGACTGGATTCCACAGGACATCAAAAGATTGGATGGCCGCCCACCTATGAGATAGTCAGACTTCTTCAAGACCCTAAATGAATGGTTTGAGGCTCTTTGTGTTCCTGGAGCAAGCAGATGCCATTGGGCTACACTAGCACGTGACAGGGACAAATGGAGACGTTCCTGGTGCCTGCTCGAGCAAATCGATGAGTAACGGGATGTCAAGTGATCAAGTGACACAGGTGTTTATATTTACATTCTGGACCCTGCTAGAATTTAGTTTCAAATTTGATATTAAAAGAATATAGGAAAAAGCTATCACTCCTATATATGTCACCATTCCAAATAATAGTGATAACAAGTTAGTGAAGAAAAACAAGGGCAATAAAAGATTTAATTTAAAGCTTTTTGGTAAGGTAAAGTTTCAAAAGTGTCAGCTCTACCATCTTCGAGATGACTATTCAATTGCCAGGGCAGTGATCTTAGTAGAAGGGCTAGAAACTCATGTCTAAGAACAGATCTAAACATTTATGTAACAACATTTATTAAAAACCATACAGGAAAAACTTCAACTTCTACTCTACCAATACTTCTGGTGACCAAGTAAGAGGCAAGTGGGAACTTCCCCTACAAATAATGTGTGCAATGCTCTTTGGATGCTAACTAGATGTTCAACAACCCACTCCATTCTGGTACTGTCTGAAATTAGGTCCAGATCCCACAAGGTACAGACTCTGTCCCACAAGACTAACCCCAGGCCAAATGTACATCATAACTTCCAGGCTGGCTGTCAACTGTATTTCTGACCAATCAACTATCAGTTGGGGGTTCCCATACTGCCCACAATGCCTTTCTCAGCCGAGAGTGTCCGCAGAACCCAGCATACCAATCTCATGTGTTTATTTGTTTGCTGAATCTCCTCCATCCTAATCTTTTCAGCTTTGGTGACTATCTTCTCAGTCACTGTTAAGGATATTTTTCTGAGGCTGATTAAGTTTGGTCTGCAAAATTACCAAAATCTCCTGCCAATACTACTATACCAGACAGGCTCTTACACTTCCAGCAATGTTTCTTTTTCATTTCTCTATGTGCATTTATTACTGCTTAAGCATCCTCAGGGGTTTTAAATCTAGCACTCTGTGTCTCCTTCTAGCCACTTTTAAGATTGGGGCCACAGGGGATGGAGCAATAGCACAGTGGGTAAGGCGTTTGCCTTGCATGCAGCCGACCCTGGTTCAATTCCCAGCATTCCATGTGCCTCCTGAACACCGCCAGGAGTAATTCCTGAATTTGAGAGCCAGGAGTAACCCCTGTGCATTGCCAGGTGTGACCCAAAAAGCTAAAAAAAAAAAAGATTGGGGCCACAGTACTCCTGATATGTTTCCCACCAGGCAGATGCTCAGTACTAAGGATTTTCACAGCCATGACACTCAAATTGTGATCCGACACATTAACCGTCTCCCAAGATCTACACTCCTCACTGCTGGCTAGTTCCTGCTTCGTTCCAGATTTATTAGATACTGCATGTTCTGTTTCCATTTCTGACTCCAATTTTATTCAGGACATTGTTTTCTTTAAGAAGCGAGAATGGCTTTTTTGCAGTGCTAAATAGCCCTTTTTTTCAAATTCCTCCCTTCACTCTTGGACAGCACTTTGGATGGTATCATCTCTTCTATTTTATGTCTCTCTTTATTTTTCTTCTTACAATTCATTTTTGTTTCCAAGAGTGATCATCTTTTTTTTTATCTCTTGTATCCTTTCTCTCTGCAGCATAAACTTCTGAATCTTTGTTTTCTTTGGAAACTTCTGAGGTTACATTATTAATGTCATCTTTTGAATCGTTTTCTTCCCTTTTGATCTGGGACTTAGTTCTGCATCCTTGGCGCTGCCTCTGTTCCTCTTCCCCGTTTTGTTTAGAGGTAATCTGGTTATTTCAGCTCTCTGTTTTCATTTTGTTTCCTTTTTTTTTTTAATGTGGCTTTGGGAATTCAGTAGTCTCCACTTCAAAGCACTCAGACGTGGTCCTAAATCTTTATATTTTATAGGCACTCTCCTTGTTTATGTCCATATTTTGATGCAAGTCAATATATTGTGTTCCTTCTTAATTGGGCCTTTCTTCTTTTTTCTTTTTCTTCTGCTACTCTTGGGTGGCTTATTTTTCACTACCTTAGGAAATACACCAGGTTTCCTTTGTTTCTTATTGCGGATTCTTAAGACACTCAATAGCTTTTGCTCCTTTTTTTTTTTTTTTTTTGCTTCAAATTCCACGAAGGAAAATCCCTTTGGATCTCCTACAGACTTACAGTGTGCTATACTTACATAAACAACATTGCCACATTTTTCTAATGCTCTTTCAATCCAGCTATGATTAACAGAAATTACTTCTTTTGAAAGTAATTTCACAGACACTGTCCACTCATCTTCAAGGGCCATATATTGTACAATGTGGAAGAGAAGGAAAACAAAAATAGACATTACATAAGACAGCTTTACTTAGTCTCCCTTATGAGACCAAAGAGTTATTTTTAAAGCTATCAGAAAGGGGGACCAGAGAAATAGCTCAGTGGGCTTGAGCACATACTTTGCAAGCAGGAGGCTTGGATTTGATCCCTGGTCCTTATATGGTTTCCTGAGTACTGTCAGAAGTAGTTGCTAAACACCAATGGGTGTGGCCCCCAAAACAAACACATGAAAAGATAGGAAAGAAAAGAAAAGGAACTAATATTTTATTTACTGGATATATGTTAAGCGCGAAACAGTTCAAAGCTTTAACTATTAGTTTATTCTATTGTTAAGTTCTCACAGTGACAATAAGAACAAAATAAAATTATTTCCCATTTTATAGGTAAAAAAGTGGAGACTTTGAGAATCACATCAACATCACAAATGAAAGCAGATGAGTCAGGTCCTGACAGGGCTATGAGGCTGCAAGTTCAAGCCCTTGCACTGCCCACATGCCAAGTACAAGACTGATCTTTTGTACTACACACATGCCATAACCCAGCGGCACTGCTGTTTGTGATTTCTGATGCCATAGCAAGGGGTGAGACCCTCATGAGCACCAAAACCAAGTGTGACTGCACCATAGGCAAGGTTTGAGGAAGTCGGGAGCACAACAACAGCGGCACAAGGAAAGAAAGGGGAGTGATATTATTATTTTTAAAAATAGCAGACAACTATGCAGCTGTCAGGAGAGATGAAGTCATGAACTTTGCTTATAAATGGATAGACATGGAGAGTATCATGCTAAGTGAAATGAGTCAGAAAGAGAGGGACACACACAGAAGGACTGCACTCATTTGTGGAGTATAAAACAATGTAACATGAGACTGACACCTAAGGATAGTAGATACATGGGACAGATAGATTGCTCCATACCTGAAAGCCTGCCTCATAATCAAAAGGGAGAAGGCAGCTGGAATAGAGAAGGGATCGCTAAGAAAAAGATGGCTGGAGGAATTGGTCGGGATGGGAGATGTGTGCAGAAAGTGGATAAAGGATCAAACACGTTAACCTCTCAGGGTTTGTACTGCAAACCATAATGCCCAAAAGTAGAGAGGGATTATGGGAAATCATGTCTGCCATGGAGGCAGGGGGAGGGTGGGAAAGGGGGGGTACACCGGGGATATTGGTGGTGGGGAATGTGCACTGGTGGAGAGAATAGGCGTTTGATCATCGTGTGATTGTAACCCAAATATGAAAGCTTGTAACTATCTCACGGTGATTCAATAAAATTTTTAAAAAGTAAAAAAAAGATATATATATATAAGACAAGTCAAAATTCAAGTCCAGGTGTGTTCTTTCAAATACGATAACCTGCCTTAAGACACTTTTTATTGCATTCACTTCTGAATTAGCAAGTCTAATGGTCAGAATTGCCTCCAGAAAAGCTTTTCTAAAGTTTCTAATTTTCCAAGATATATTTATTTACTAGTAATTTATTTGAATCTAGAGACAAAGTGGAATTCTTGCTGATGAGCTTTTAAAAGAGTTTCTAGGGTCAGTACAGAGAATTCACAACAGTCCAAATGAAATAAGATCAAAGAGTTATGTCACCACTTAAAGATTCTCCTCCAAATCTTCTCTAAGTTTAGTTTAAGTTTTACGTTTCCGTTCCATGTTTGGGATTGTTTAAATAGAGAAAGAGACAGAGGGGAGATAAAAGCTCTTGCAGCTTCCTCAAATTCTCTTTTGCTGTCTCTTTTGTTTGGGGCGACACCAGGGTACAGGGTCATTCCTAGCAAAGCTGTTGGGACCACGAGGCACTAGAGGTAGAACCTATATAAAACCTTTGAGTCATCCCCTTGGCTGCAAATTGTCTTTCCAATAAAAACATAGCTGGGAATGTACAACCATTCACTGAACAAGCAGTGTTGAACATTCCCTTTATTCTAATTTATAATGTTATAATAAAGACTTCTTTAGGTATCTTACAGGGAACCCAAAAACTTGTTATCTAAATCCAGTGAGCTACTTCTTTAGTACTTCACCAAGTATTTTGAACCAACATTTCCAGAGAAGCTTTTATGCCGTATTGCATTTGGTGAAGCCATACCAATGTTACTCACTGATTCGGTTAAATGGGAGACTGGAGCTGATGTCGATAAAGGTAGTCTTGTAGCTTCAGGAGTTGTAAAAGGAGGTGCATCCGGCTGCGAGATGATGGGACCAGGAATCTTAACCCAGTAGATTTTATACTTCTCAACAACTGTAGCTCTGAAATGCAGTACCAGTGACATTACACAGTTGTGATCCATCATAATCAAACCAAAACCTTAAAGGAGAAAAATAAGCAATAATCTACAAATACATGAATTAAGAGTGCCTCACAGTACTACTAATTTTGTGCAAGGCAAACCTCTAATGCCTCTCTTCCATCTCATCATTAAATGATCTTTCATTCTGTTCACACCCTCCTTTTCTTGCTCTAAATTCCCTTCTCTTAATAATGTGCTCTTTATTTATTTATCCATTTGTTTATTTATTTGCTTTTTGGGGTTACACCCAGTGATGCACAGGGTTTACTCCTGGCTTTGCACTCAGAAATTACTCCTGGCAGTGCTCAGGGAACCATATAGGATACTGAGAATAGAACCCGGACGGCCATGTGCAAGGCAAAAGCCCTACCCACTGTACTATTGCTCCAGCCCCAATAGTGTGTTCTTTGGGTATATTCACACTAGTCAAAAAATACCATGCTCAAGGTTTTTAACCTGCTGGCACATAAAGAATATAGTACTAATTCCTTCCATAGCACACTGTTCAAAGCATTCCAAAGTGCATGTGGGGCAGACAACTAGGGCAGGAAGCTGTACAAAGACTACACCAGCAAGTCCCTTCCTAGCATCATATTCCCATTTCCACATTCCACACCACACGCAGGTACAAGGCTGTGTTACTGCATGTATTGGTGCATTGTGCCCAAGGTGAATCATAAAATAAAAATGTGTTAGGAGAGAAATGTTCCCCCTTAATCCATAACATCACTCAGGACTCATTAGATAGTCATGACATAACTCAGAAAGCATTAGATAGTTTAATGATAACGATTTCCTTGGTGTACAGGTCTAAGGGAGAAGTACTACTCTAATTCTACTGAATTTTATCATTCCAAGCATATATAAAGTCTTTCCAGCTAACTATTCTCAAGTTGTAACAGATAAAAAAAACAAGTAAACTTCCGGACTATCTTTGGTTTTTAATCTTTAACACTCTTCTTTTGCTAGGGAAAAAAAAAATTTCCTTAGTCAGGTTTGAGTGATAGTCCAAGACGGCTAACCTTAGTTCGATCCCCAGCACCATATATGATCTCCTGAGTTCTACCAGGACTTAACTCCTGAACACACAGCCAGGAGTAAATCCTAATCAAAGCCAGATATGACCCAAAACAAACAAACAAACAAAAAGTATTAGTCTAAAACTTCTCTATATATCACATAGACAGTATTAATCGATAGTTCTTGGTTTTTTGTGAGGCATTTTTCTTTTTGATTTTTTGGTTTGCTTGAGGACCATATTAGTGCTCAGAGCTTATTCCTGGCTCTGTGTTCAGGGATGATTTCTGGTGGGATCAAAAACTATAAGATATGCCAGGGATCAAACCCGGGTTAGTCACATAAAAGGCAAATGCCCTACCCACTATACTATCATTCTGGCCTCTAATTGATGGTTCTTATAGTGTGAAGACAGTATGGTATTTCATTCACTCAACAGTGCCTATCCTATAAGGTTTCAGGTTCTATGCTTGGTGCTGAGTATATTACAGTGGCAGGGAGAAAAAAAACACATCACTAAGGTGGTATCATTATTATATCAAACCTCTCTTCTAACAGTCCAGTAAGTATAAAAAATGATAGATAACGTTTTTGTTATCTATACTGGTTACAGAGCTATAAATTCTACTCACAAAAACTGTATGTGATTTGGGGCACTGCTTGGAGCATTCCAGTCAACATTAATTTCTGTTTTCTTGGATGGGCTTGTATGACTCACAGCTGATCCCTAAAATAAAAGAAGAAAGAACTATTGTTCAGTTGCTCAATAGCTAGCAAGCATGCATAAAACTACTATCATTTTGCAAAGTAATTACTCATTATATGACCTGGGTATCCTAGTTCATATTTAGAACAGAGATTCAAATTCTCAGTAAATACATGTGAGCTGACTGATACTGTGTCAGTACCTGAGTGTCAAAAAGAAAAAAAATGGAATTGGCACAAATTTAAGAACTGAAGAAAGTGACAAATACTGAGTGTCTGGCTATACAGGGTACAGAGTCTTTTCATTATTTTATTTATACTATGAGAGTCTATCTATTGATAAACTATAGCTAGAATGCATAAGATTCATCAAAAGAAAAAAGTCCTGCCTCCAAATGTGTAACTAGGTCATATTTTGATAATTCCTTTCTCTTGAACCACCTTGTTTCCTACTTTCAAACACCTGGTAACTTTCTGCTTATTCATTGTGGGGGGACTTGCTCAGATCATCTCTTCCAAGAAGTTCTCTCAAGTCCACCATCCTATGTGTGGCACCCCGCTGCGTGCTTCCCACCTATCCCATACTTACTCTACTCTAAATGATTTCTCTACACACTATTCTCCTTATACTGTCTTATTGTTACACACATGTATTCTTATGTAATTATTTCATGCCTTCAAATGTCTTACTTCATGTAAGTCTATGAGTTCTTCCAGAGACAGGAAAGTCTTACTAAGAACATTATCTTTGGCACCAAGGACAGTTATTGGCATAATGTTCAATGAATAAATGAATGTCAAAAACTGGACTTCAATCCCTTTCTCAAACTCTTGTTTTCTCTTTTCTGTTCTTTTTTTCTTTTGCTGTTGGGAATCAAACTATGTGTTCTGAGACACATCCCATCCTGGCTTTCCACTCTAAAGCTCTCAGCTTCAATATGTATCCCCTTTAAAAATCAACATATTAAGAATCAATATAATGTAAAATACAAAAATCTATGAATTCTTACAGCTACTGTCCTACTATTCCTGGGATGATTAGATGTAGCAATATATTGCTAGTGTTAAAATGAGAGGGAAAGTTTGAGTTTTAGGAGTCAATTTAGATAACTGCAGCACATGGGCAGTGTTTATCCTGCAAATACCATTCCATAGTAAAGACCCAGAGAAATGGGCAGAAGCCACTTCCAATACACATACTGACCTGTACATCTTCACAAGTAAGAAGCTGTGCTTCCTGACTGTCAATCAATGTGAAAGAGCCAATAGGAGGGCCATTCAAATCCTCAGCATTTCGTGCTTCCAGGAGAAAGCCTTTAAAGGGGGGCCCTGACAACGTGACTGAGAAACAGAAGGAAAGAAGCAGTGAGACGGTTAGCAGTATCTCAAAAAGATAACTGTGTGGAGGGGACTTATTGTGTAAACTCAAAAAAGACAGAAGCGGCGGCAGCAGTCTATCTCTCCCGCTGCCTGCGTTCAGTAGTCTCATACTCCTTCCCCCCACACGGGGAGGTCAGGGGATGGGCAGGCGATGGGCAGACAAAGGAAGGAAATAAGGGCCAGGCTGGTTGGTCTTAGTTGCAGTTTATTCCATTCCCATCTCCATTTTCCTCTGATTCTCCTCCTGCTTCTTCCTCCCCCATGCTACTTCATTCTCCTTCTCGATCCCCCTTCATCCTCCTTCTGACTCTGGAATCTGGATACTGATCCCGATTCCCTTTCTCCTCTTGCTTTTAAGTCTGGATTCTGATCTCCCAGGCCACTCTTACAGTCTAGTTAAATCCCAAAGGGATTTATTCATGAGGGGTTGGGGTAACAATTACACATAGGTGAGGTCACAATCAATAGGGGTAAAGTTCTTTCCCTTGGGGAAAGCCGCTTCTAGGACAGATACTCTCTCAGCAGGACGACCCACCTAGAACGGAATCCCATGGCTATGTTTCTCCTCTCCTTGTCCAACAAACATATAAGCATACATAATATAAATCATTTTGTATGGTTACAGTTAGAAATACCTTAAGCTTATAGAATTACTCTCCTAAGGCCATTTCCATCTCAGACTACAGTGTTCAGGCCAGATAGTCTTTCCTCTCCCTAGCAGGGTCCTATTCTCGTTGTTACTTTTGGAGCATAACAGCATTTGTCTATGATCAAGCTCTTATAGTTAAGAATCGTGGCACTTTGGCCTGGCCTATTTCAATGCCAGAGTAGCTCACAGCTTTCCCTGGGTCCATTCAGTCCCTCGTCGGGTCCCTGCTTTGGGGGTGTTAGGAACCAAGGGCAATCGAGGCTTAAGTTGAGAAAGCAGATAACCGGGAGTGAATAATATTCAGAGCCAATTAAGTCCTACGTTACAATGTATAATGTTAACGGTCTTCCTGTATCTATACAAAAAAGGCATTGCTTTAAAATAAATTATTCAAAAGACATCAGGAGAGGAGAAAGACAATATTAACTTAAAATACAATTTCAGTGTCCTAGAAGGATCTGACCTTACAAATAATTAACATTCTGATTAGGGGAAAAGCTGATTAACTGGAAGGAGAGCATAGGGAAGAATTTACAGATAAACACAATGAAATGGAAGTGCTTCAGGAGCACTGTAATAAACCTGAGTTCCTCGTGGCAAGGGGAAAGGGCAAAACAATGTTAAGCCTAAATATTTGGAGCTATATTCCAACAACATCACAGATTCCGGAAAGAAAACAGTAGTAATCACCCTATAGACAAGGAAGTTCTAAACTTTTCCACAAAACATTCATTCTGTGAAAATCTCTAACACTTTCACAAGAGCAAAAGGGAGTGATGGTAGTGGGTTCATATTATTTTGTTCTTTGCTTTGATTTTTGTTTTTGTGCTGGGAGTGGGGGGAAGCTCCCTCCTTGGTGCTCAGCAGTGCTTGGGAGGACCTGGAACGACTGTGCATGCCAAACACACACTCTGATCTGTGAGCTCAAATGAAATTACTTTGGAAAATGCAGATGAAAGTAAATACTTGTTTTTTTACTGAAAATCCCTCATGGCTTTTAACATCTACTGTGCAGCATGAAACTTTATTAGAAGTGTGTGTGTGTGTGTGTGTGTGTGTGTGTCAACCACACAAAACACTGAAAACATATCTTTCAATATACTCTTTTAGTTCACAATCATGATCACAACCATCCTGTTATTCGTCAATTGCCTCGAGCAGGCCCCAGCAACATCTCCTTCATGCTAGCCCTGATATTTTTAAGAAAGTGCCATATTCAAGGCTCTTTAGGAGAATGAGACCCATCATTGTTACTGGTATTTGGCATATTGGGTACACCACAGGGAGTTTGCCAGACTCTGCCATGTGGGCAGGTTACATTCGGTAGCCTGCCAGTTTGTCCAAAGCAGGAATGAGATAATAAGATGTCTTATTAGTTAGAGAGAAACTAATTGGCTCAATTAGGACTTAATTGACTCTGAATATTATTCTAACTCTTTTTAGTTAGAGAGAAACTATTAACATTTTGCATTTCTAGAGTTGTTGGAAAATACTACAGTAGAAATACCTTTAATAGTCAGTCTATTTTGCCAAAAGAACAAGGTATTAAAGTATATCACAAAGCATGAAGGTCTACCAAAAACCAGATAAAATAAACTTGATTTTCTTTTCTAAGAGTATTACTATCAAGTACTTTAATGAAGTCATTTTAAGTAACAGTAAAAAAAAAAAAAGACATTAAAACCTATGTGAATACAGAGAGCAGACATACTACTTAAAAGTTATAGTTATCTCTAGTAGTTAAACACAAAAGTAGAAAATTTAAGACAATGGTGCCTTCTAAAAATGGGTGAAGAGATTTCACAGTTACATTTCTCCCATAATAACCAAAATTCAATGGACAATGAAAAACAGTGAAACGCAAATAGCAGTTAATTCCAGCAACGTACCTTTAATCTGATCTCCTGGTCTGAATGTTGCTTGACTCACTGCAATGTTGTGAATGGGATCGAGGAGTGGATTATGACCATGTATAGGCATCATTCCATGACACGAGTTTGTCACTTTTCCATTGGGATAATTAGTCACGGAACTAATGTGCAACAGGAGAATGCAGACAACAAGGATAAATCCAGGAACTGCCATCTCAAATAAAGAAAATTAAAAACACGTTATTTTCATTTTTTCTTTTTTCTTTTTTTTAAAAGAAAGGTATTTTTATTGGGATTTATTTAGAAAGATGTGAGGAGACAGAGGGTAAGAACACAGTTCGAGTAAGAACACAGGCTTCTCTAGAGTGGAAATAGGCAGGCAAAGAAACATCAAGACAAACAAGCGAAATACCCATTCCAAGGAGAACATGGGCTTGAAGAGCTAGGCAATCACGACCGAATCACGAATCACGACCATCCTGTTATTCGTCGATTGACTCGAGCAAGCCCCAGTAACGTCTCCTTCATCCTAGCCCTGAGATTTTTAAGAAAGTGCTATATTCAAGGCTCTTTAGGAGAATGAGACCCATCATTGTTACTGGTATTTGGCATATTGGGTACGCCACGGGGAGTTTGCCAGACTATGCCATGTGGACAGGTTACATTCGGTAGCCTGCCAGTTTGTCCAAAGTCCTGTCCTGTCCTGTCCTCCCGTTATTCATCGATTTGCTCGAGCGGGCCCAGTAACGTCTCCATTGGAGACTTTGTTGTTACTGTGTCTGGCATATCGAATACGTCACAGGGAGCTTGCCAGGCTCTGCCGTGCGGGCGAGATACTCTCGGTAGCTTGCTGGGCTCTCCAAGAGGAGCGGAGGAATCGAACTCAGGTCGGCCATGTTGGCTGCGTGCAAGGCAAACGCCCTACCGCTGTGCTATCACTCCAGCCCAGAAGAGCTAGGAAAATCATATTATTTTCACATGTACTAATAATATATGGTTTCATATCCAAACACAGAAACAAGAAGTCTCACAATGTTACTGGGCCCGCTCGAGCAAATTGATGAACAACAGGAGGACAGTGCTACAGTGCTACATATCACTGAATAATAATTCTAGAAAATCAGTCGTTTTCATTCACCAACTATACTCAAAAAATGCATAATTTTTTTTTAACCCTGAAGTTTGTCTTGGATTTGACTCTCGACTTGACAACTGCCAAATGTGAGGCTTTAAGAAAACCACTTAAGCTTTCAGTTTTTACTTGAAAAATGAGGAACTTCTCCTTTCAAAGTTATTTTAATTAAATAAAGATAATCTCTAAAGTTTGACAAGGAAGATATGTGTTAGGTTCCATTTGCATGATTGAAATATAAGAAACTAGTCCTATAAAAGCAAACACTTCTCTGCTTCACCTTAGAAAAGCTAAAGAATAATACCAGAACCGTGTCTCACCTGACAAAGCATGGCTAGCATCTGCAAGAAGTTGAGTTTTATCCTGGACACTGCATGCTCCTCTCCAAAGTCACACCACTAGCTGTGGTCCCCACAACAATTTTTTTAAAAGAAGATTAAAAATCAAACTAAATATGCATCTCCAGAATTTAAATGTCATCATCTCTTGGGGGCCAGAAAGATAGTACAATAGGTAGGGTACTTGCCTTGCACACAGTCAAACTGGACTCAAGATTCTGCACCCCACCTGTCCTCTCAGTTTTGCACTATTTCACAAGTTTTTAATATCCATACACAATAGAGAACAAAACAAAACTTGCTTTCTGCATCTCAGAACAGAAGTAGGCTTAATACAAAAAATTAAAGCTATTACCCTGTTTCTTGGGCTGGAGCGATAACACAGTGGGTAGGGCGTTCGCCTTGCACGCAGCTAACATGGCCAACCCGAGTTCGATTCCTCTGCCCCTCTAGAAGAGCCCAGCAAGCGACCAAGAATATCCTGCCCGCACGGCAGAGCCTGGCAAGCTCCCCGTGGCGTATTTGATATGCCAAAAACAGTAACAAGTCTCACAATGGAGATGCTAGTGGTGCCCACTCAAGCAAATCAATGAATAATGGGAGGACAGTGCTACAGTGCTACAAAATTCTTATATTTGGAGTAATATATAATGATCTTTATATTTGTGGGTCACACATACATAACTGATAGGGCTGGAGCGATAGCACAGCAGGTAGGGCGTTTGCCTTACAAGCGGCCAACATGGCCGACCCGAGTTCGATTCCTCCACCCCTCTTGGAGAGCCCGGCAAGCTACCGAGAGTATTCGATATGCCAGACACAGTAACAACAAAGTCGCCAATGGAGACGTTACTGGGCCCGCTCGAGCAAATCGACGATCAACGGGAGGGCCTTTACCTTTTACCTTTATACATAACTGATATAAATTTAAACAATGTATTTGTTATAACACAAAAGAATTCAGATAAAAATTAGAATTCAATTGAAAAACATTTCAGTAGAAGAAATGAAGTACATGTTGTTTTTTTCATTTTTGGTGCCAAGGGAACAAATCCAAAGCCTCACATAGGTAAGGCAAGTGCTTGCCCCTAAGCTAAGGCACCAATCCTAATTAAGCATTTTTAAGTGAACTGATGATTAAATGTCTTTATTGTATGATTCTAAGAACACTGAAATAAAGACAAAGAAAATACATTTTTTTAAAGGCTGGAGCGATAGCACAGCGGGTAGGGCGTTCGCCTTACATGCGGCCATGTTGGCCGACCCGAGTTCGATTCCTCCACCCCTCTCGGAGAGCCCGGCAAGCTACCGAGAGTATTCGATATGCCAGACACAGTAACAACAAAGTCTCCAATGGAGACGTTACTGGGCCCGCTCGAGCAAATCGACGATCAACGGGAGGGCCTTTACCTTTTTAAATCATGGAATTAAGCTAGCAAGTAACTAGTTGATTCTAGTCATTTGGCAATAAAGTTCTACCTCTGATTGTTAGTCACTAATTTTAAATTAAGGCATCAAAGGAGTTCAACAGTTCACAAAACAATAATGCAAACTCATCTCAGTAACACCCACCCACTTTACATCACCCAAGATGTGAGTTTCAGCACTTGCTAAGAATCTTCATTGATGCACAGGGATGAAATCACAAGCATTTCTTAATTGTGAAAAATTAGCCGTAAAAGAACAAAAATTTAACCAGAAGTGTTCACAATAAAATATATTAATAAATTGAGAGGCAAGGGCTCTGTTTATATGCAGTGGGTTGATTTCATTTTTTTAGCAAAATCAAAATAAATATTTTTATATTATAACTCAACAAGTATTTCAAGATACTGGTTGCCTCTCTCACCTGTAAAAACTCCTATCCCATACCTTTGATATGCCAAAAACAGTAAAAACAATGGGCCTCATTCCCCTGACCCTGAAAGAGCCCCCAATACCGCAGCATTAAGATGTATGAGCAAGGAGAGGCTGCTACATTCTAAGGGCCAAACTAGGCTGCCAAAACAAAGAAGAACTAAAATGACTGTCTGTACTTTCAACGCACCTATGCTGGCATCAAAAGCATCCATCGAGGACCTGATGGTGCAAGCACAGAAGATTAAGGATGATATTATTGGTCTGACCGAGACGAAAAGGTGTCAACCACATCATGTCACTTTTGACACTGGAGAAGAACTGTTCCTCGGAACATGTGACAAGAGAGGCGTTGGTGGTGTCGGAGTCCTTGTCAACACCGAACTTGGCCATGAGCATTGATTTATTCGAATGCTTAACATCTGAATTGGATGCTTACACTTCAATAGATATGGCTCACTGCCAGCAGTTTCTATCTTCGTCGTCTACCAACATCTAACTTTGATGAAGAAGAAATTGATAAATTCTACATGGAGCTGGAGAATTTCTATAAAAACACCACAACTTCTACAAGATCATTGTCGGTGATTTTAATGCCAAGATAGGACCAAGAAGATCACCCAAAGAACTCCACATCAGGACCCATGGCCTAGAATGGAACGAACAGGGTGAGAGACTGTCTGAGTTCATCATGTCAACCAAGACTATGCATGGTAACTCACAGTTCCAAAAGGCCAAATCTAAACGTTGGACATGGGAGTCTCCCGGTGGACAGTTCCACAATGAAATTGACTACATCATATTCAATCAACGGTTTTGCCTGACCAATGTCACTGTTGTCCCAAAATTCCAAACGGGATCAGACCACCGTCTCCTTCATGCAAAATTCTACTTCATGAAGTGGGGAGAAAGTGCTACAAAGTTTAAAAAGAGAACTCCAGAACAAATACCAACTGGGAGCTCTTTGGCACTATTGCGACAACATGGGAAGATGCCATCATTGACGAGATTGATGAAGAATGCGATTGACTGGTTCAGCACCTCCATGATTGTGCAAGGAACAGCGAGAGAGAGAGAAAGCCACAAAAAGACACCTGTCTTCAGAAACTATCCAGCTCATTCACCAACGTGACTTGGCGCAAGCCTCAGGCAACTATAAGCTAACATCCGAGCTCACAAAGCAGTGCAGAGAAGTGTTAAAGGAAGACCTCAAAGAAAGAAGAGCAGCAGTGCTGGCTGATACAACAGAAACCGGGAAAGGCATTCACAACACCTGCCTGTCCTTCACCAATTGCAAGACCAAGATGACTGCACTCCAACATCCTGATGGATCTATCACATCTTCCAGAAGGGCAATGGAGAAGATTAACTATGATTTCTACTCAGCTCTCTTCGATAGCCATGTCCACCTGCCCACATACCTCATGTTGTTCCCAATATTCTCCCTTCTGAAACCCAACACACCATTTCATTGGTAAAGAATCAAACAGCACCCGGCCCAGACAAGGTCAGACCAGAATACCTGAAGAATCTACCACCAGTAGTCATCAATACAATGGCTCAGCTCTTTACACGCTACCTGTCTGAATGCAAGATTCCGTCCCAATGGAAAACCAGTAGAACCATTCTACTGTACAAGGAGATATCCACGACATTAGCAACTATCACCCAATCTGCCTGTTGTCCATCATCTATAAGCTGTTAATTCGAATCATCCTGAATAGCATTTGCAGAACACTTGATGAAAGACAGCCATGCAAGCAAGCTGGGTTCAGAAAAGGATTCAGCACAATCGACCATATCCACACGGTAACCAAGCTCTTTGAGGTTTCTCAGGAGTTCAAGATGCCGCTCTGTCTAACGTTTATCGATTTAAAGAAGGCCTTTGATTCTGTTGAGACTGAAGCGGCCATCGAAGCCCTAGCCAAACAGGGCGTCCCAAACTCAATATATCAGGATCCTACATGAGGTGTATTACAGATTCACTACCAGGATCTCACCATTCTACAAGGAAGTGATCATGGATGTCAAGAGAGGGGTTCGGCAGAGTGATACTATTTCACTGAAACTCTTCAGTGCCACTCTGGAGAACATTATGGGAAAGAATGGGAGTGAAGATAGACGACCGGAAACTACACCACCTCCGCTTTGTTTATGACATCGCTCTAATAACACCAAACATTAGCCAAGAGCACTAATGCTGGCCAACTTCGACCATGAGTGTGGAAAGGTTGGACTGCAGCCAAATCTCATAAAGACAATGTTCATGAGAAACGGACTTGTTCCTGACGTTCCATTCACTCTCAATGGAATGAACATCTCTGAATGCAGCAATTATGTGTACCTAGGTCAAGAACTCAACATGATGAACGACCTGGCACCTGAGCTGCTCAGGAGGAAGAGAGCGGCATGGAACAGAATGCCGACTGGTTCAACCCTTTTGGAAAACAGTATGGACAATTCTCAAAAAATTAGAAATTGAGCTCCCATTTGACCCAGCAATACCACTCCTGGGAATATATCCCAGAGAGGCAAAAAAGTATAGTCGAAGTGACATCTGCACTTGTTTGTTCATTGCACCACTCTTTACAATAGCTAGAATATGGAAAAAACTTGAGTCCCCGAGAACAGATGACTGGTTAAAGAAACTTTGGTATATCTACACAATGGAGTACTATGTAGCAGTTAGAAAAAAATGAAGTCATGAAATTTACATACAAGTGGTACTACATGGAAAATATCATGCTAAGTGAAATGAGTCAGAAAGAGAGGGACAGACATAGAAAGACAGCATTCATCTGGATAACATAAAGTAACAAAATAAGAGACTAACACCCAAGAGCAGCTGTGATAAATACCAGGTTGTTCACTCCATGGCTTAGAAGTCAGCCGCACACTGTAGGGGCAAAGGCAGCTCAGACAGAGAAGGGAACACCAAATAAAGGGTGCTGGAAAGATCTGCCCAGGATGGGAGATGCATGCTGAAAGTAGTCTATAGACAGAACATGATTGCCACCCAATGTCTCTTCTGCAGACCACAGCAGTGAAAAGGAGAGATAGAACAAAAGGGAGTGCCCTGCCACAGAGGCAGGGTGGGACGGGGGATGGGAGGGGTGGGATACTGGGATTGGTGGGGGTGGAGAATGGGCACTGGTGGAGGGATGGGTACTCGATCATTGTATAACTGAAACCCAAGCACTACAACTTGTAAGTCTACAACTGTACCTTAAGGTGTTTCACTAACAATAAAAAAAAAAAAGAGTGTCAAAGAGGGGCTGGAGTGATAGCACAGCGGGTGGGGCGTTTGCCTTGCATGCGGCCGACCCAGGTTCAATTCCCAGCATCCCATATGGTCCCCTGAGCACCTCCGGGAGTGATTCCTGAGTGCAAAGCCAGGAGTGGAAGCTGTGCATCGCCGGGTGTGATCCAAAAAGCAAAAAAAAAAAAAAAAAAAAAAAAAGAGTGTCAAAGAAATAGCTAAGAGGACGAAGAACCTCCAGCTCCAGGCACATCTCTTCAACTCCACTGTTCTTTCTGCACTAAAATACACCTTAGAGATCTGGGCCCTACGAAAACAGGATGAGAACACTATTCAATCTCCCAAAGAGGAATTGAAAGAGCTATGCTTGGAGTACCATGCTTCACTCCAGTGAGAGAAGGAATCCGGAGTTCCAACCTCCATCGAAGATCGAGAATCAGGGACACTGTCTCTTTTTGCCATGGTGTCAAAAATCAGATGGGCTGGACACATAATGCAATTTGGAGACGACCGCTGGACTAGAGCTGTTACCGACTGGATTCCATGTGACATCAAAAGATCTTATGGCCACCCACCTAAGAGATGGTCAAACTTCTTCATCAAGACCCTGAACGAACGGTTTGAGGCTCTTCATGTTCCTGGAGCGATCAGACACGATTGGGCTACACTAGTAACAATGGAGATGTTACTGGTGCCCGCTCAAGCAAATTGATGAGTAACAGGATGTTAAGTGATCAAGTGATCCATACCTTCTACTCCTTCCTCATTTTATTCAGCAAACAATCCTACTGAAATTTTGGGGAGTAGGGTCACTCCCAGCGATGTACAGGACTTACTCCTGGTGGTGTTCAAGGACCATATGGGAAATCAGGGATCAAACTGGGTCAAATGCATGCAAGACAAATACCCTACCCACTTTCACAATGCCCTCCACCCTTTTTTCTTTTTTTCTACTGAATTTTTTTTTAAGTTGACAAAGGATCTCCAATGGAGGGAGGGAAGTTGCGCAAGCAGTGTGCTCAAAGGACCTGGGGTCATCCCAGTAGCTCCACACCCAACCATTCAAATGCATGGGGCTGTCCTGGGGCTGTCCTAAAAAGAGTTACACACAGGGCTGGAGCCATAGCACAGCGGGTAAGGCGTTTGCCTTGTACGTGGTGGACCTGGGCTCGATTCCCATATGGTCCCCTGAGCACCGCCAAGAGTAATTCCTGAGTGCAGAGCCAGGAGTAACTTCTGTGCATTGCCAGGTGTGACCCAAAAAGAAAAAAAAAGGAGTCACACAGTGCCCAAGGATGGAATCCAGGGCCCAGCACATGCAGGGCATGTGCTCCAGTTCCTTTAGTTCCCTTTTCAGCCCACTACCAATGAATCTGCAGATTCATTACAGAAAATATTACTTACAACATATATATATAGACCTATGAATTTCAACCATGTTTAAATTCTAAGTTAGGATTATCAGGATTTACTTATAAGAGAAAATGTATTGGGGACAGATAGTACAGGAGATAAGGCACTAGCTTGTATGCAATTAGATGGCAGTTTAGATTCCCAGCAAATATATAGTGCCCCAAGAAATGCCAAGATCTCTCCTGAGCACAAAGTCAAGATGATCTTTGCTGAGCAGTGTAGGAGGTGGCTAAAACCCCATACTCCCACAAAAGGAAGAATTTCCTTTACTTCACAGAACTTTAAAAAAAAAAAAAGTCATAAAGGAATTTAGTGACAAAAGATTAATTTATGCAAATGAAATGTCTTATTCTCATTCATTTCATTTGTGACCCCAAGCAAAAACTATTAATATGGCTAACTGGTATTCTTATAGAGACCTTCTGTATGAGGGAGAAAAGTATTAACTATAATTTAAAAACCTTCAATTGCTAACACATAAACAGTCATTTCAAAATTTCTATCAACTACATCCTAAAATGTTCAAGGAAGAGAAGAAGCTACTTGTTATTGAATATTGTTTTCCTTTCACCATGCCACTGAACTTGGCTACAAGCATAAATATTTCCATTAATCCACGGTCCACAGTCCTCCCGTTGTTCATCGATTTGCTCGAGAGGGCCCAGTAACGTCTCCATCATGAGACTCGTTGTTACTGTGTTTGGCATATCGAATACATCACTGGTCGCTTGCCAGGCTCTGCCGTGCGGGCGAGATACTCTCGGGAGCTTACCGGGCTCTCCTAGAGGGGCGGAGGAATCGAACTTGGGTCGGCCATGTTGGCTGCGTGCAAGGCAAACGCCCTACC